CGGTTCCGACTCATAGCGACCCTGTACAGGGTTTCCGAGGCTGTAAATCTTTACGAGAGCACAAAGCCTCATCTTTCTCTTGCGAAACAGCTGGTAGTTTTGAACTGCTGACAGTGAGGTTCGCAGCCTTATTCGTAACCACTATATATAGATAAACTCTTAGACCGGAGGAACAAAATTACATAGTCTAAATCGGTTTTTTGTCTTACTAATTTTCTTTTTTCAAATGAGTTATTTTAATTCCAGGTGGTACAGAATTTTGGGCATAACAAAGTCCTAAGAGCAGGATTCTGGGCTGGATTTACTGATCACACAGCTAAAATAGGGCTGAAGAGGCGGTGATTGGATGGTTTCTTCTTTTTCTGTCTTGTTTTTTTTTTTTTACAAAAGTTTATTCTTAAATGTAAAACAGGCTCCAAGACAATACTAACTATAGACAGCAAGAGCTGTCCTAACTGTGAAATAAAATGTTTAAACAGAAATGGAACCAAGACTCACCATTGTCTCAGTCAGAAAGAACAACTGATTTTTTTTCCAGATTTCTTCATTCCACCTGTGACCGGGGAAGCCCTTCCCCACAGCCTTCGCTTTTAGCTCTTCAAGTTTCTTCTGCTCTTCTTTTTGATTCTGTTTGAAAGTCTTATCTTCCTCATCCATTTCCTTGTTCTGTTTCCTGTGTTGTTTCAGGGGCTCCTCCTTGCCACCTTGGCACCCCAATATGGTGTCTGCCACCCCTTTCCCAGACTTGCCACCCAAAGCAGAGCCTTGGCTTACTCATTTTCACATGTAATTTTTTTTGTTAATGTCCAAATTAGAGTGGAAATTTATATTATAAATTTTACTCGTTTTGTAAATTTTATTTTCAATTATTCTAATTTATTTGTTATGGTAGAACTAAATTGCTTAGGTGACATAATTTTATATCCGGGGAAAATGAAACAGCAACTAAGTGGAGTACAAATAATAAAAAAGAAGAAGAAAGTTCTCAAAAGATAAAAAGAAAAGGATTTGTGAGTCTGACCAGGCAGTGTTAAATTCTATTGTGCTATGAGTTGGTACCAACTTGATGGTACCTAACAACAAGTCTTACTGTGGCACTGTGGGTTAATGCGCTGGACTGCAAAGTTAGTTGACCACAAGGTTGATGGTTCAAGCTCACCAGCTGCTCCTCAGAAATCCTATACAGGGTTGGAAGGCATTTAGTAACAACAACAACAACAACAAAGACAATTCCCTAAGGTGGCCTGACCCAAGCCAGGGTGTTTTCAATGGTCTCATATGCACGTGAAAGCTAGACAGTGAATAAGGAAGACAGTGGATAAGGAAGAATTGATGTGCTGAGTGAAGACTATTAAAAGCACCAAGGATTGCCAGAGGAACAAGCATGTCCGTCTTGGAAGAAGTTAAGTCAGAATGCTCCTGAGTAGCAAAGATGGTGAAACTTCCGTCTCTCCTACTCTGGACAAGTTAGAAGGGAACAGTTCTTAGAGAAGGACATCATGCATGGTACAGTGGAGGATCAACTAAAGAGAGGAAGACACCCCACACCCCTTACACCTCTACCCTCCACACACCCTCCCACCCACTCCCAACAAGATGGACAGATATAGTGGCAACAACAATGGGCTCAAAATCAGCAACAATTGTGAGATGGCACAGGACGGAGCAGTGTTTCCTTCTGTTGTACACAGGGTCGCTATGAATCAACAACAGCTAGTGACAACAACTATTCCAAAATTAACTTCCTTTTTAAAATATAAGACAATTCCAAAATTAACTTCCTTTTTAAAATATAAGGAGTCCCAGTGGCATTATGGGTTAGTCACAGGGCTGCTAACAGCAAGGTTGGAGGTTCAAACTCACTAGCCGCTCTGCAGGAGAAAGATGAGGCTGCTATGATTTGGAATCAACTCTATGGCAGAGCTTTTTGTTTTTTGTTTTGACCAGGGGTGGTGGTGGTTGTTGCTACGTGCAGTCGAGTTGGTTCTGACTCATAGTGACCCTGTATAAGGTTTCCAAGAAGCAGCTGGTTGGGAGGACTTAAAACATAAGGTATCAGAAGGGCTTCTTTCTTTGAAAGCTCAGGGTTAATGGGTGCAAATCATTGTACAAGTATCACTGGTCCTGAAACAGCAATACAAATATAGCAGAATTTGTTTCAAATTCTGTACCCATTCCTTTATGTAGTGGTGTGCGATTGTGCCAAACCATCACGCCAATAAACATGTTGTGGTGAAGTGTCTTAGAGGGATATTAAACCATAGCAAACCAAACACACAGTCATCAAGTAGATATATATGTAACTGACATATCCCATTCAAATGCATATGTGAACGTAGGAGAGGCTCCACAGATCATCAATGTTTAGGGCCCTCATATCTTAATCTGGCTTTGATTATAGCATTCAAGGTAAAAGTAAATCTGTCTTTTATCTTGTTGCCTTGTCCCTTCTCTCCAGAGGTAACCACAGTTATCACCGACTTCTTATGAACCAGAGATTTTCCAGCCACATATGAATAAATATATATGCCCCGTTTAAAAAATATATATATATACATAGAAGCAGTGGGTCTTGCAAACAAAACCAACTATTCTTATTGTTTCAAATAGATCTTGGATATTTTCTGGTATTAATACATAAAGTTCAATCTCTATCTTTTTAATGACTGTCCCTAGAGAAGGACACCATACTTGGTAAAGTGGAGGATCAGTGTAAAAGAGGAAGACCCCAATGAAATACATTGGCACAGTGGCAGCAAAGATGGGCTCAAACGTAATAAGATTGTGGGGGATGTTGCAGGACTGGGCAGTGTTTCTGTTGTGTAAAGGACCCTATACAGCTATGAGTTGGAACTGACTGAATGGCACTTGACAACAACACCACCATTTATTGTGTGCTTACTAGTGGTTTCAGAGGAGGAACTGGCGGGTTTGACTCTCTGATCTTGTTATTAACAGTCCAGTACTGATCCTACAGTGCCATACCAGGACTCCACAGGGGCAGATCATCTGTAGATGATTTCCAATTATTAATGTTATTAAAGATGACTAAGGAGATGAGGAAAGGGGAAGTCTGAAATGACCCCCAGGTCTTGTCAAGCACATCTGCTCCCGCTTACCATGCTGATCAGTAGTACTAAGGAAATGCTCTTCCTCATCTTTTTGTCAAATTCTCTTTTTTAAAAAAAAAAACTTTTTATTGTGAATTGAGTGGAGATTTATAGACAAGATCATTCAACAAATCCTACACTTGGTTTCATCTCTTCATCCCAGTGATTACAATCCCCTTGATGCAACACTTATCCTGCTTCCTCCCTGCGGTTTCTATTGGCATTCCACCCACCTTCCTATCCCTTCTCAACTTTGACCTTAGGAAAGCATTGCCCTTTTGATTTTGAATGATTGACCATTCCATGGTGAACACACCTTACTTATGTTGTTTCCCCCCCCCTCCCACCATAAACCTATCTACCACTTAGTAGATAGGTTTGGGCCATGGGGGTGAGTTATTTACCAGACCTGAACGGTAGTCAAAATCCACAGTCTCAGGGTCCTGTAGTCTTTTTTGTAAACCCAGTCTTTTATCCTATTACTATTAAATAATTTTGTGTTTTCTTTCACTCTAGCAGGAACCCTCTAACATGATCCCTTTCAGGATGGTTGGTAGTGAGGGGTGGGCCCGGTCTAGCTCTTCTGTTCTCAGAGTCATGGAGACTGATGTTCACATGTTCCATTAGTTCAAGCACACAGAGACCAATAGCTGCACCTTTCCAGTTCTCTACTTAAATGGTCTCTTCTCAAAGCACTCTCACCCAGGGACCCAACCAGGTTCCACCCTCTCTGTCCCCTCCTTGCTGTGAGGCACCAGCCACAGTGTGGCACCAAAGGAGTTGACAAGTTCCTTTCCTTGAAAGGTAGCTCCTGGAAGCTTTTGTTGTTAAGTGCCAATGAATCGTTTCCGATTCACAGCAACCCTATATACGGTTTCCGTGGAGTGGCTGGTGAGTTTGAACTGCCGACCTTGCAGTTCAAACCTACCTTGTGGTCCAGTGCTTATCTTATCCTCACCAGGACTTCTGAAAGGCAGGTTGCTTTTTTGGGGTCCCCAGCTTCGCCTCAGGGCCGAATTTCTGGAATTTCACCATTGTGCCTTTACAATCCCGGGCAGCTCTCTAGTGCTTTACTGTCCTTCCTCACTACTCAAGTTTATGGGCTAACACAGGGCTGTGACCAGATCCTAAAATCTCAAAATTCATGTATGAAACGAAGTCCCAACGTCTCATTTTACAGAGGAGTAAGCTTCTGTAAAATGGAGGGGGCAAGTAACTGTTGTGAAAATGTTAGGAGCAGAATCGAGACTCAAACCTGGGTGTTCTGTCTTCCTTTCCCAGCCTGGCAGGCCTGTCTCTTGCGGTTTCTCTCACTAGGAGAGACCCCCAAACCTGGATGTTGGTGAAGACCTGGTCCTCTTGACTCTGGCCCTTCCGCTCAAGCTGTGGTTGGAGGTGGCTCGACCCTCCAGGGCGCTACGGAGCTCCCCAAAGACCTGGAAAAGTCGCTGATGTGGACCCCTTGGGCTTCTGGAAAGGTAGAGAAGTACAGAAGATCGCTGGGGCAGGGATTGGGGGTGGGAAAGAATCCTGACTGGGGTGCTCGGCACTTGGAAACTCCCTAAGGGCGCTTCGCCACGAGGACAGGGGCCACCACCGGCCTGTGCGTCCCGCCCCATCCCCAGGCCCCGTGGAGCGCAGGCGGCCCCGCCCCCCGGAGCCCCGTTTCCCCGGCAGCCAGCGCCGCGCTCAGTAAGCCGATCCTTCCCGCCTGGCGAGCGGCACCCGAGTCGCCAGTGCAGCGCCGACGATGCGCTAGACTCGGAGTTTCTGGCCCCCCACGGCAGCATGGCCCGGTCGGTGCAGCTAGCACCCGACTCGCTGGCGCTGGTGCTGTGCAGGCTGGAGCCGCAGAAGGGGACAGCGGCGGCTGGGGATACTGAGGAGCCCGGCGGGAGCGCGGTATTCCGCGCCTTTTGCAGAGCTAACGCGCGCTGCTTCTGGAATGCACGACTGGCGCGCGCCGCCTCGCGGCTGGCCTTCCAGGGTTGGCTATGGCGCGGGGTGTTGCTAGTGCACGCACCTCCCGCCAGTCTACAGGTGTTGCGCGACGCTTGGCGGCGCCGGGCGCTGCGCCCGCCGCGCGGCTTCCGCATCAAGGCGGTGGGTGAGTGCGGGGCTTGAAGGGAAAGGGCGCCCTCGCGAACTGCTTACTGGGACCCAGTCCCCGGCCCAACTCTCAGGGAGCGAGTTGGGGAAGGGGGGTCGCCTGAGGCGGGCAGGCGGGGTAGCTGGAGGAGAAGGGGCTGGTCTCCCAATAGGCCCTGGACACCTTCCCTCCTAGGACACTTAAGTCCCAGCAACCCTAGATAAACCCCTCCAGAATGCCTCCATTCCACAACTCTTTCAGTCCGCTGAGCGCATAGTTTCCTGGCGGAAGCTACTTTCCACTTTTCAGAAATGTGATGCTCAGGAGAAAGAAAGGCTTTGGGTTGGAGGGTAGGAACTGCGGACAGGAAACAGGTACCCGGCCCAGCGTCGCGGGAACTATTGAGAGGTCTTATTAGGGGCTGGTCAGAATCTACCAATTCTTAACTGTCGGCTTTTGTTTTGATTTTTTTTTTTTTTTTAAAAAGCTACAGACTAGGAGCTAACAAGAAGTCGGTAAATTTTATGTAGTACTGTATTAGTTGGTGTGTGGGGTCTCAGATCAGAGCCTGGGTTGTCATTGGTGAAATGTTGTTGTTGTTAGGTACCGTGGAGTCGGTTCCGACTCAGTGAAATACGGGGAGCTCTGGTAACGTAGTGGTCACGAATTGGGCTGCGAACCGCAAGGTTAGCAGTTCGAAACTATCAGCTGTTCTGCGGGAGAAAGATGAGGCTTTCTGCTCCCGTAAAAATTTACAGTCACAGAAACCCTATACAGGGTCGCTATGAGTCGGAACCGACTCCACAGGCACGCAACAATAATTGCTTGGGGGAAATAATTGACAATTGGCGTCCTGAAGACTTCTCATTCCATCTACCTTCGCCATCTTCAGAGAGCCTATTTGGAAAATAGCTTCTCACTGTCCCAGTGAGTGGTCTGTGTCCACTGAATTTTGCCGGGCATTTTGGCTCTCTGTAACTGCCTGATTCTATTCGTGTGCACTTGTGTGGGGTTGTGACAAGCCATTTGATAGTATACTGTTGACAACTCACCACTTGTTCCAGTCCTGAGTTTTGACCCCTGCTAAGAATCCCCTCTCCTGTGTTAGTCTGTAAATCACTCTCCTTTTTCCATCTGAGGAGAAGTAGCAAATAAAAACAAACAAACAAGAAACCCCATTTGTTTCAGTTGTCAGGGTCAGGGCAGCCAGAGGCATCTGATAATTGTGTATTCTTTGCTTAGAGATTGTGTCTTTACATCCCCACAGCCCTGGTCAGGGAGGTTAAACCTTGGTTGTTAGCCTCCATGCATTCCTATTTGGTCTGTAGTTTTTGTTTGTTTTCCTTTTTCTTCTCTGAAGAGAGAGGGGGGTGGGGGAAAAAAAAGGAATTAATTGCAAACTCATGCTCTCAAGTCTTATTACTGTTTTTACCTGCTGGAGTGAGCGAAGAAAATAGGTTTCTGGCTCAGAGAGCAGTGAGCTAAGTAGCTAAACTAAAATCCCCACTGGGGAAGTGGTCTTTCACACAGAACCCTTTTCAGTCTCTGGTTTTCTGGTTTGAATTAGTGGCTACATTCTCTGGTTACCCCACCCCCTTTCAAAGGTGAGCCCTGTATGCATTGCAGAGAGAGGTTGGGACAGAGTGGGGGTCTAGACCTGGAGGTGAAATATGAGAGGACGTGTGCTAATCCAGAGGCAGCCATAAAGCTGTTACATGTGGTCCAGAGAAGCAGTTGGCAATGCTGGTTTCTAGGCTGGCCCTGGTTGCTGCATTCTGAAAGGAGCTGTGGAAGAGGAACAAGTCCACCACGTGCCCACTACGTAACACTGAGGCTCCCTTGTTGCATAGCCCCAAGATGGAATGAGAATTGTTGTTTACAGAGTGTGTAACATAGTGGTCTTTACACTGGGCCATCATCCCTGACTTGGGTCTCTTGTGGTTGTTGTTAAGTGTCATCAAATCGATTCCGACATATAGCAAAACTGTATAGAGTTTCCAAAGAGCGGCTGGTGAATTTCCAAAGAGAGAATGGTGGGTTTGAACCGTCAACCTTGTGGTTACCAGCCCAGACCAGAACTCTTGGCAGGAATGATTTTGATGATTTTAAAGGAGTCTGGATAATTTGGACATTTAGCTGGAGTTTGAGCAAAAACATTTTGAAGAGTGACTTGAGAAAGCTCTTATTTTATGTCTGGCAGTATATGCACATGGTGGTGGGAGTTTTTGTTTTGAATATTATGTTATTAAGTGCTGCCAAGTCAGTTCCCACTAAAAGCGTTCCTGAGGAGCAGGGTCCTTTTTTTTTTTTTTTTGCATAGAATTTTAAAGTATTAGCCTCACTATGAGTCGGAATCGACTCCATGGCATATAACAACAACAACAGTCTAACTTAAGAACTCCTGATATGGCTTTGTAGGATCAGCACTGGACTGCAAACCACAAGGGCAACCCACCAGCTGCTCCTCGGAGGCCTTACAGATAGGGTCTCTATGAGTTGGAACTAACTTGATGGCACTTAACAATAGTCTAACTTGAAGAAGCCCTGGCAACTCTGTGAGTTACGCACTAGGCTACTAACCACAGGTGGGCAATTCAGAATCTCTCTCTTTGGAAGAAAGCTGAGGTTATCTGGTTATCTCAGAGGCAGGGGAAGTCTGACTTGGGGTCTCTGAGTCTATGAGAATCCCAGAGGGTGGTGAAGGCAGAAGGAGCTGGCCTGTCCCAAAGGAAGTTTGCATTTGCCTTGCTTTCTTCACTCTGGCGGTACTGGCTCCCAGAGCTAAAATGGGCTTCAGGAAGGCGAAGGCAAAGCCTCTGTGGACTATTGCAGATTTTCCATCCATTCTCACTGTGATTTTATGAGAAGGAGCAAATGTTACAAAAGGGAACAGAGGTTCAATTTGTGTTTTTTTTTGGCTCTTGTTTTTTTGTGCCTTTTCCCTCCTTTTTCTCAAAAGCTGATTTACTCCTGCTTGAAGGTATTTGACATCGGAAGTGCTGCTCCCCAGCCCAGACAGAAAATGCAGGAAGAGAAAGGAATGACCATCCACTTTATTACCTCAATTGTGCTTTCCTCCCAGGTTTTGGGATCTGGGCTTCCTGGAGCTTCGTAGGAGGGAGCACTGTGACCAAGCAGACAGGACTGACTCAAGCCCTGGATGCATACCTGAACTCAGGGGCAGTTTAAAGCCTTGCTGTGGGTTTATGTTTTCTCCTCTACGTTTTGTGCCTTTTCTTTCTGTCTTCATCTTCTCTTAGGAGCCCTGATAGCGCAAGCTGCTAACTGTACGTAAGGTTCAGTGCTTCAAACCCACCAGCTGCTCCTCCAGAGAAACATGTGACATTCTGCGTCCATGAAGCTTGTTGGTGTTGCTAAGTACCCACTCATAGATCCTATATTGGGTTGCTTGAGGAGAGCTGGTGGGTGTGAACCACCAACCTTGTGGTTCAGACCGACTGTGCAGCCCAGTGCCTTTCCTACAGCGCCAC